GCCCCCAGTGAGCAGAGAAAAATCTCCTGTCTTTTTCCTGGTGGAGATACTGAGTCTGGTCTCGGCTCCGTTTGCGCCAGTGTGAATGCCGAGTAAGTCACCAGAGTCAAAGCTTTACACCGGTGCAACTGAAATCAGACTATGCTGGATGGCGCTGGGGCCAGAAACCGTGTCCGTGCCTTGTGCTCGCCACCGGACAGGTGAGGTGTTTCCACCCCCTCGCTGGTCTCAGCTCACGCCTCTTCCTTCCCTGGCTTTAGAGGGGGGAAACTGAGGCACGAGGCGGGTCGGGTCGCCTCCCTCGGATCGTGTAGCGAGGCAGTGGCAGAGGTGAGGGCACGTCCCCCCCAGCAGCCGAGCTGAGCCCTTGCAAACTCACTCCTGGCTCCTGCCCCGCTCCTTCCTCCTCCTCCTCCTGCAGCCCCAGATCCCCGGGGGCAGCGGTGGCAGGGTGGGGGTCACACACCCGGGGAGGGTGAGCAGGGGACAAGGAGGTGACAATGGACTAACCCCACCCTGACCTCCCCCTCCTCTCTGCCACCTCCCTCCCAGAACGACGAGGATGATGAGGACGATGAGGATGAGGATGAGGATGACAACGACTCTGAGGGCAGCAGCAGTTCCTCCTCCTCCTCGGGGGACTCCTCCGACTCCGACTCCAACTGATCGGCCAAGCTCTTCGTAAAGTCGTTTGGTTTCTCGGTTTCGGTCCCAAATCCCCCCTGCAGCCCCTCAGAATCCTTCCTCCTCTTCCTCCTGCCCCCCCGTGGGACCCCCAACGCGGGGAGCGGGGGCCGGGGGGACCCCTCCGCCGAGCTCACACTACGGAGGGGGATCAGGGGCTGCTTCCCCCAGGCTGGGGGGCGAGGAGAGAGCCCCCCACCCCTGCCCCCCGCTTTACTCCCGAGGGGAAGCGATTTTTTTTTTGGAATTTCATTCTTTCCAGGGGGGTGTCTCTCCATCCCTACCCCCATAACCCCCTCGCTACCAGCTCTGGACTTTCTAGAAAGAGAAGAAAAACACACAGGAAAAAAAAAAAAAAAAAGAAAGAAAGAAACAAACCAACAACACCCCCCCACCACCTTTTTTTTTAATTAAAAAATCCCAGAAATGGGAAGAAAATCCCCCTCGCCCCTCCGGCAGCGGGCGCGGAGCACGAGCCGAGGGGCTCAGGACTCAGCCGATGGGACAATGCCTCCTTGCGACCCCCCCCTTCCCTCTGCGCACCCCCAGAACCCTTGGGGGTCCTCCCCACCCCCCCAAAAAAAAAACCCTTGTACAGTCTGGAAGCTGCCCCGGGAGCTGCCCGGGAACTCCACATCCACGGCACTTGGGAGCGGCGGGCCCGGGGCGGTGCCCGGTGGTGGCCCGGGCGTGTCCCCGGGCGTGTCCCCGGGCGTGTCCCCGGTCGGGGGGGGGTGGCAGTGGCGTGGGGGGGTGTGGGTGTGTGTGTGAACGTGTGAGTGTGTGCGGGGGGGGCACCGGGGCCGCCCCCGCCCGGGGCCGGCGGCTCAGCGTGACCAAGGGGGGGCGCGGGGTCCCCCCGCTCTGTTGTCGGTGGTTGTTGTGCCGTTGTATTTTATTTTAAAATTTTTTTTTTTTTTTTTTTTTTTTTTTTTTTTTTTTTTCCTTTTTATAAAACAAGAAAGATCCATCTTTTATTTTTCATTTCCCCCCTCCCCGTTTCTCCCCCTGCCCCTTTTCCTTGCCTTCCTCCTCCCCCCTCACCGCCCCATTTTCCTCTCTGTCTTTGGTGAAGCTGCTCCTCTCCCTTCTCCAAATCCTGGGGGGAAGCACAGCTCCCCTTGCCCAGTCAATCCCAGTCACCACCAGTTCATGTCCCCCCCGGGGGGGTCTCACCTGCCCCCGGGCCATGCTGTAAATATTGGTGTGGTTTGGGTTTATTTTGGGGGGTCGATGCCCCCTCCCCGGGAGGGGGATGGGGCCGTGGGGACCGGGGTGGGTGCATGGGGGGCCTGTCAGGGGCCCCCCCTTTTTTTAAGCAGACACGAGCACCAGCAATCCCACGGCACCTCCCTGCAGGGTTCTGTCCCCCCACCCCGTGTCACCCCCCAAAAACCCACCCGGTGTCACTGGGGACCCCCCCAGACCCCCACTCTAATTGGGGGGGGGCTCAAGCTTTGTTCTTTCTGCCCCCCCACCCCCGTCCTGTCCCTGGAGAGGAGCTGGGCTGGGGGACAGGATTTGGGGTCCCCAGAGAAGGGGATGGGTGATTTGGGGGTGTTTTTCTCTCTAGGGCTGTCGTTTAGCCATTTTTCCCTTCACCCAAATCTCCGCAGGGCTGGGGGGGCAGGAGGGGGGGCCCTGCTGCAGATTTGGGTTTTTGGGGGGACTCGCCCCCCCCCCCCCCCCAGCTTTGCTGCTCTCAGCACCCCAAATCCACCCCCCCGCAAAGACACTGGGGACCCCCTCCGTGCTGAGGGGGAGCTGGGGGCAGCACCCCTCGTCCTGGCCTCAGTGTGGGCTGAGAAAACACCATTTCGGGCAAACTGACCCCAAAGCTGGGGAAGGGGGAGAACCCGGGTGCTCCCGCACGGACAATCCCCCCGTGTCCCCCCGGGACCGGGGCCCCGAAGAGAACCCAGATGGTGTGTCCCCCCCCCCCTTTCCCAATGTCTGTCTGTCCGTCCCTCTGTTTCCCCTTCCCGCTTACCCCAATCCCTTTGGGATTTTCCTTTCATTTTCTTCCCAATTTTTAATCGCTGCCCCACCCAAAATCCCCTAAGGGGAACCCCCCCCCCATCCCTTTTTTTCTGCTGAATGTACCCAGCACTGTCGTGTTTTAGTGGATGTGTTTTTAGTACAAAAAAAAAGACAAAAAAAAAAAAATTAAACCCCCACCTTTTTTTCCCCCCACCTTTTTTTCTGTTAAAAAAAAAAAAAAGGAAAAAAAAAAAAAGAAATAATAAAAAAGAAAAATTCTTACAGCGCCGACAGTTTGGGACGGGGGGGAAAGACGTTTGCGCTGCAAGAGAATTCCTGAGTGCATTTTGGCACTGCCACAAAATCCCGGGATCCTTTAGATGGAAGTTCTTGTGAATTACGTTAAAAAAAAAAGGCAAAAAAACACCAAAAAAAAAAAAAAAGATAAAAAAAAATCATCTTTTTTTTCTAATATTTAAAGAGTGTTTTTGTAGGTTTAAAAAAAAGACAAAAAAAAAAAAAAAAAAAAAAAAAAAAAAAAAAAAAGAAAAATAATAATAATCCCGACTCGGAATTTGTACGGCTGAGCGGGATGCGGGGGTTGCGTCCCCGGTTTCCCGGTTTGCTTGGGGTTTCGGTTCTTTTTGTTTTGTTTTGTTTATTTTTGAGTTTTTTGGGGTTTTTTTGTTTTTCCTTTTTTTTCTTTTTTTTTTTTTTTTTTTTGTATAATAAAGTGAAAAATAATGTTTCTGTTCTCATGTCATTACTATAAAAAATAAAACTTTAGGAAAAAAAAAAAAAAAAGGACAAGTGTGAGGAGTGTTTTTGCTCCCTCCTGTGGGATCCACTTTGGGGGGATCCGCAGTGGATGGGGAATCCCTGGGTGGGGGATCCAGGGAAGGGGGAACCACACGGACCTGTGGGATCGGGGAGGGCACCGGGAGTGGGATCGGGGGGGACACCGGGAGTGCGCGGGGGTCGGGGCTGCGGGGTCCCTGCCGAGGGTTCTGGGGTTCCGGAGGTGCGGGGTTCTGGGGGTTTTGGGGGGTTTTTGGGGTTTTTGGGGGGATTTTGGGGTGCCTTTTTTTGGGGCGCGCGGTCTCTTCCGAGGGTCCCCGCCAGGCCCCGCCCCTTCCAGGCCCCGCCCCTTCGTGCCCCGCCCTCTCTGGCCCCGCCCCGCCCCTCCCCCGCGCCTCTGACGGGGCCCCGCGCGGCGCCGGCGGCTCCGGCCCCGCTCCCATTGGCCGTGGCCCCTGACGGCGCCTCCCCATTGGCCGAGGCCGCGGGGGCGGGGCCGGCCCGTGCGCGCGCCGGGCGCACCGCCCCGCCCCTCCCTCACCCCCCTCACCCCCCTCGGCCGCCGCCGCCGCCGCCGGGCGGAGGCACCGCCAGGCCCGGCCCGGCCTCTCCGTCCGCTCGGCCCGGCCCCGCACCGGCCCCGCACCGGCCCCGCACCGGCCCCGACCATGGCGAGTCGCCGCCGGGCCCCGCGCCGGAGCGGCGGGGGGCGCTGAGCCGGCCCCGCCCCGGCCCCGGCGGACCCTCGGCGCCGGTGAGTGCCCGCCCGACCCGCCCCTCCCGGCCCGCAGCTCCCGCCCTCCGAGGCCCTGCCCGGCCCTGGGGCCCCGCCGCACCGGAGAGGGGCCCGCTGACCCCGCCCCGGGGCGCCCCGGGACCTCCCCCTCGGCTCTGGGGGACCCCGCGATCCGCCCGGGATCGTCCCCGGGACCGTCCCCGGGACCCTCCCCGGGACCGCCCCGCCTGTGCCCTCCCACCCCCGGCCCAAGAGGCCCCGGGACCTTCCCCAGGTCCTGAGCCTCCCCTTCCCCCTCCCTCGCTCTGTACCTGAGAGCCCTCAGGGCCCTCTGCGGGCTCCCCCAGACCTGCCGGGCACTCCTGGGATCCCCTTCTCGACCCTTCCCTGTTCCCCCGATTCCTCAGAGTCCCCAAAACCCTCTCTGGGCCCCCCAGCACTATGCGAGACCCCCCCGACCCTGAGATCTGCCTTTCCCCCCATTTTCCTGTTCTTCCATCCACTCCCCAGAGCCCCGGGGCCCTTCCTTGTCTCCCCCAGACCTGCGGGAGTCTCCCCTGAGCCCCCCTTCCCTGTCTGTGCCCCCCACCCTCCTCTCCCAAGAGCTCCCAGGACCCCCTTGGACCCCCAGGCCCTGAGAACCCTCGATCCCTACCCCCAAACATTGATCCTGAGAGCCCCTGGCCCCCCCAGCCCCATGGAGACCCCCCGAGTCCCCCCTTTTCTCCCTCAGCCTGGGGGGGTCCTGGGGGCTGAGCCAATTCCAGCCCCTGTTTCCTCTTTTCGGTGTGGAAGGAAGAAATCCTTGGATCAGAAATCCTTGGGGTGTGTACGGGGGACATGGAGGCCCCTCCTGTGTCCCCCCTCAACCCCGTGGTTGTCCCCCCCTGCTCCATGACAGTCAGGGGTTCCACTGGTCAGCACCTTTGGGTGCTGGGGGTGTCTGACCAGGAGTCTGGGGTCTTTAGACTCCTATTGTGTGTGAGGGGAGGAGGCCAGGCCCCATTTTGGGGGGGCACACGGTGCTCTCCTCCCTGCCCTGTCCCCCCCTCCATCTGCTGCAAGGGAGGGTGATGCAGCAAAACCCACCCGCCCTGGGAGGGGGCACTCTGGGGAGCCCACCCCTCTGGGAGGGGGCACTTTGGGGACAGCACGAGTCCCCTGTGCTCACCTGCAGTCCAGAGACAATGGTGGGGGGTGAGATGGGGCTCCTGGGGAGGTTTGACACCTCTGTGAAGGCTGGAAATGTCCCTGGCTGGCCTGAGGGCCAGGGGACAACAGGATGGACACAGAGGGGCACAGGGGACATCCTGCCCTTGGCAGCCAGTGTCCCCCACTAGCCTGGAGGGATCCATGCCAGGCTGGGCAGGGACACCCCCGAGCCCCCCACTTCACTCCTGGAGGGTTTAACCCCAGGACTCTTTCTGCTGGGGACATCCCAGGATGTGCAGTGGGATTTTGGCTGGGAAGGGGGTTGGGAGGGGTTGGCAGGAGAGGGTTGAGGTGCCAGTGAGACCCCCCGTGCCCCCAGCCCCCCGTGTCCCGTGCTATGAGCGTTCAGCGTGACTTCTCTGCAAGCAGCTGCAAATGAAAATGGAGGATATGTCTTTGTCTGGCCTGGATAACAGCAAGCTGGAGGTGAGCTGCACCCTCCGGGGGTCTGTCTGTCTGTCCCCTGGGGTGTTCGTGTGTCCCCCCTGTCCCTAACGGCCCCCCCTGGGCCCCCAGGCCATCGCACACGAGATCTACACGGAGCTGGTGGAGGATGCCTGCCTGGGGCTGTGCTTCGAGGTGCACCGGGCTGTCAAGTGCGGGTACTTCTTCCTGGATGACACAGACCCCGACAGTATGAAGGACTTTGGTGAGCCCCCCCAATCCCCCCAGAGCTGGGGTGTGACAGGGACACAGCCAGGCCCCTGCTGCCAGAGAGGCTGTGAGGGACTGGAGGTCCCCACACGCAGGGATTGGGTTTGAGGGAGATTAAACACCCAAATGTCCCCCCAACAGTGACCAGACTGTCCCAGAGAGGTGCTGAGGCCCTGGGGGCAGCTGGGGTGTGGGTGGGAGGTGGCAGAGACCCCTGGCAGCAGCACTGCTGCAGGTTTCAGCTCTGTTGAGGCTGTGGGGAGGCTCTGGCAGCCCCAATAACCCCCCCAGGGCAGGGCCTGAGCGTGTCCCCCCGCAGAGATCGTGGACCAGCCGGGCGTGGACATCTTCGGGCAGGTGTACAACCAGTGGAAGAACAAGGAGTGCGTGTGCCCCAACTGCAGCCGCAGCATCGCGGCCTCGCGCTTCGCCCCTCACCTGGAGAAGTGCCTGGGCATGGGCCGCAACAGCAGCCGCATTGCCAACCGCAGGTGGGGACTCGGGGTCCCCTGGGGACACTGGGGCACAAAGGACAGGCTGGGGGGTCCCCTGGGGACACTGAGGATGCTGCTGTGGATTTGGGCACTGATGAGCCTGGGATGTGAATTTGGGTCTTCCCAGTCCTCGCTTTCCATTGTAGGGGTGTCCGGCTTGGTTCTGCCCTGGAGCAGCTCTTGTTCCTCCCTGCCAGTTTGTCCCTCCCAGGAAAATGAGCTGGGAACCCCCAGTCCTCTGTCCCCCCTGCCTCGGTGGCTGCTGGGGGCTCCTGTCTGGATCCTGGTGCAGGGGAGCGTGGGAGGTGCAGGATGGATCCCGGGGTGCAAGAAAGGATGTGGGCCATGATCTCGCTCCCCTCCTCGCTCAGGATCGCGAGCAGCAACAACCTGAACAAGTCTGAGAGTGACCAGGAGGACAACGATGACATCAATGACAATGACTGGTCCTATGGCTCTGAGAAGAAAGGTGGGGAGGGGTCCCTGCTGTCCTGAGGGGTGGGAGACACGTCCTGCCTGCCTGGGCTTGGGGCCACATCCACTGGAAAAGGTGAAATCTTTCCTTTCTGTCTCTCCCCACAGCAAAGAAGAGGAAATCGGATAAGGTGAGGGGGTGAGGGGAGCGGGGAGGGTGGGGGGCACGGGGAGGACACAGGACACCCCCAACACCCCCTCTCGTTGCAGAACCCCAACTCGCCCCGCAGGTCCAAGTCCCTGAAACACAAAAATGGTGAGGGGGCGGGGGCTAAAAATTTTGGGGTGGTGCTCACGCCATTGGGGCGGGGCTTGGATGGGCGGGGCACGTGTAGGGGTGCGGTATTTGGGGTGGGGGGGGTCACTGATGGGGGGGGCCTGTGGGGAGGTTCTGCCTGGCTGGGGCTGGGGCTGGGGCTTGGGGGGTTGGCCCTGGGGGTCCCAGGTAGGCCCAGGCGTGGGCAGGACCCCCCCTCACCTTTCCTCCCTCCCAGGCGAGATCGGTGGGAACCCCGATCCCTTCAAGGTGAGCCTGGGATGGGGCAGATGGCTGCCAGTCCCTCCTCTGCCTCCCCAGGGGCTGTATGGCCCCCCAGGAGGGTCCCCCCAGCCCTGACCCTGCTCTCTGCCCCCCCAGTACAGCAACTCAGCTGGAATCAACTACGAGACCCTGGGCCCCGAGGAGCTGCGGACGCTGCTGACCACGGTGTGGGGCTGGGGGGGCAGGAGGGGATCCCAGCGGGATTGGGGGGCACCACAGGGGAGGGGACCCCTGGGGACTCCTCCACTGGGGCTGCTTCCAGGCTGGGAATGGGGACATGCAGCAGTGGGGCAGTGGGACACAGCACTGGGACACTGGGGGGCCCAGGGCTGTGATGGTGCAGGGGTTACTCACCTGTCCCCCCCAAACTCACCTGTCCCCCCCCAAACTCACCTGTCCCTTCCCTCCCCAGCAATGCGGGGTCATCTCCGAACACACCAAGAAGATGTGCACCAGGTGAGGCCTGGCCCTGCTCACTCTGGGGGGGTTCCCCAGGGTCCCCAGCATGCCCACATCCCCCTGGGAGGGGGAAGGCCACCTCAGCCGCGTGTGTTGTCCCCAGGTCCCTGCGGTGTCCCCAGCACACGGATGAGCAGCGCAGGGCAGTCCGGGTTTACCTCCTCGGGCCCTCCGCGTAAGTGGCTGCACACTCGGGGTCCCGGGGGTCTCTGTCCCGTGGAACAGGGACTGGGGGGGTGCACGGGGTGCTCAGGTGGGGCTGGGGACAGGGGATAGCCCTGGGGGGGCCTGGAGGGGATTGGGAGCCCAGGGCTGGGGTTGGGACTGGGAGCCCAGCCGGGTGGTGGGAGCTGGGCTGAGCCCCTGGGCACCCCCCTGGCATTTGGGCGGGCTCCGTCCCCACCATCCCTGTGTGACACCTGTGCCCAGGTCCCTGCCCGAGGCCGAGGGTGGCGTGGAGAACGACAGCTTCGAGGTGGCCGAGAGCCAGGCCCTCATGAGCCGCCTGCAGTGGGACGGCTCCTCCGACATCTCCCCCTCCGACTCGGCCTCCTCCAAAGCCAGTGAGTGTTCAGGGCCACAAATCCTGGGGCACAGACCCCTCTGGGGGGGCAAAACTGGCTCTTGTGGCATCTCCCCAGTACAAGAGGGGTTGAACAGAGTGTGGCTCCAAAGCCTGGAGCACCTTGTCCCCCACTTGGGAGGGGGAGGAATATTTGGGGTACATTTTCTTGGCTGTTGACCAGAGCTGGGCATCATCCACTCTGTTTTGGGGCCCATCTCCTCCCTGACACCCCCATTTCTTCCCTTTCTCCCCTCTCCAGGTACAAACAACTCCGAGTCCCGCAAGACCAAGAAGAAGAAGCCACACCTGGGGCTGGTGAGCGGCGCCCCAGGGCTCGGCTCCAGCAAGAAGAAGAAGCCCAAGCCCCCCGCCCCCCACACCCCCAGCATCTACGACGACATCAACTGAGCCCCACGGAGCTGGGAGGGGCAGGACGGACAGAGGGACGGACAGAGGGACGGGCAGGGGCCAGGCCAGCCCCCGGGCAACCCCCGGGTACCAGAGCACGGAGGACTCGGCTGTCACTGGAATGGGGCTGGATTTGGGGAGCCCCCATCAGTGCCCCCCTTCCTCCCCCCTGCCCCGGTGCCTCTATTTATTCTGTGACAGTTTTTGTACGTGGGGCTCCCGTGGGGGCGTCTCCCTCGGACATGGGGGTACAGCCCCCCCCTTTCCCTCCCAGCACCCCCCCAAAGCCCCCCCACACCCGCTCCTCACTTTCCCCAGTGGGGTGGGGGGCACCTGGACACCCTGAGCAGGTCCAGGCCTGGGTCAGGGGGTTGTAAATCCCCCCTGCCCTGGGGTTTTGGGGTGAGCCCCCCACTCTGGGGCTGCCCCCCCTCCCTGCCCCGGGCTGGCACTCGCTGGTCGGGCTGGCTCAGGAGGGGGGGTCACACTGGAGGGGGTGTTTCCCACTCAGAGGACAAGGGGGGCACCCTCTCACCCCCCAGATCTGTTCAGCTGCGCCTGCACTCAGCTCTTGGGGGTCTTGGGGGCCTGGCAGTGCCCACACAGGGGGGTCACAGGGGGCTGCATGCTGCATCCTTCATGTTTGGGGCTGTTTGGGGGTGGGTCTGGGGGTGGGGGGAGCTGCTGTGACCATCCCTGTGCCAAACCGTTGGGGGAAGGGGGACCCCAACCTGCCAGGGACCTCTGAGGAGGGGAACTGGGAATGGAGCAAAGCTGGGGGGGAAGCAGAGCCCCCCACTCCTCGTGTCCCCAGGGCAGCTCTGTGTCCCCTCCATGCATGCCTGGGGACCTGCTGCTGCACTCGGGGGCGTCACTGGGGACCCCCACAGCTCTGCTGGGTGTTTGCACCCCCACAGGCCCTGCTCTGGATTGGGGGGGCCGGGACCAGCGCCCCGCTGTGCGGGCTGGGGGGGACAGGTCCCTCTGGCTGGATCCAGGTCACCCCCTGCCCTGGGACCCCCTCCCCTCCCCGTGGCTGTTCTCCATCACAGGGGCGATGTTGGGGGCAGAGTTGGCTCCATCCCCTCCGTTGTCCCCTCCCGTGGCTCTCTGACCCCCCCCATTTGGCCATATGTCCCCGGGGGGGGCTGTGTCTGTCCCCCCACCCCGGTGCCGTGGCTCGTCCTCTTGCTGGGACTCACGAATTTTGGTGCTCTCGACTCTGGATTCACTATTGTTTTCAAACTGCTGCTAAAGGCTGGGCTGGGGGGGTCCTGCAGAGCCCTGGGCACCTCACAACACTGCGGGGGCCCCCCCCAGTGCATGGGGACCCCCGTGTGGCCCCTCCTGTTGGGGCTGGGGGGGTCTGGCCACCGGAGCATGCCAAGCTGGCCTTCGCGTGCCCCGGGGCCCGCAGACGGGGCTGTGGGCACCCAAAAACCCGGGGGACCACCCCAAACTGCCGGGGAGGGGGGGGGCACCACGAGCTGGAGGGGTGTTGGGGGGAGGCAGCCTGAGCCCCTTCAGCTGCGGGAGAGGCGCTGCAGTTTGGGGTGCAGGGGGTGCAGTGGGGTTTGGGGGGCTCAGACCCTGCCCTGTGCCCCCCTCCCCAGGTCGGTGTCCTCGCCCCCCCCCGGTGTTTCTGCGTGTTCCCCCCCCGCGGGGGAGCTGAGCCCTTGTGAGGTCTGTGTGTCCCGTGAGTGGGTTGTGGCTGCCCCTGTAAATAAAACTGCATCTTGACTTGGTATCCCTGGCATTAATTATAGCTCATTAATTAAGCAGGGCCTTTACCCGCCCCCCCCATCTTCCCCCGACTTCATTCACCACAGGTGGGGCTGGATTTGTTTTTATAACCCGCCAAAAGTGTGGGTGGGTGGGAAAGAGCAGCTCCCAGGGCAGGAAGGCAACCACTGGGGTGACTTGACACCTTTTATTTGCTTTAAAAAGTCCTTTTTTGGGGCTTGGGAAGAAGCCACGGCCCGTTCCAGTGCTGTCCCACTCCCCCGGAGCTGGGATTGGGGCTGAAGGATGGGGAATAGATTTTGGGGAGGGGGGCTCAGCCCCTTTTTGGGGGGTAAAGTCCGGCAGCAAGGCTGGGACGTGCGAGGTGGCTCCGGTCGCAGCGTGAGGACGGGGAGACCGAGGACGGGGACACCGAGGTGCCTCCCCAGCTCCTTGCCGCCTCATCCCGCCTGTCCGTACACCCCGAAGGCCAGGAAGGTGACCAGGACGGTGACACCGATCAGGGACACGGTGGCCGGGGCCGTGAAGAGCTGCCGGTAGTTGATGCGGAAATACCAACCCAGTGCCAGCACCACCATGACCGTGGGCACCATGAGCGTCCCCCCGCCCAGGGGCAGCCCCGGGGCCGTGGGACCGGCGGGGCCGGGCTCGGGCAGGGCGGGGGTGGCCGCGGTGGCCCCCCGGGAGCGGTGGCAATGGATGACACAGTTGTCGGTGATGCGGAGCGAGCGCAGCGTCCGCGCCTGGTCCTGCAGCAGCTGCCCGCGGTAGATGAGCTTCATCTGACTCTCCTGGCCCGGGAAGCATTTGCTGCGGGAGGGAGGAGGAAAGAGGTTGGAGGTGGCAGAGAAGCGCTCATGGACTCACCTGGGGTGGAAACCCCCTCCAGCGTTACACGGTGAGGGGACAGCGATGGCACTGCCACCACGGTGCCACCGCCGTCTCTTTTAAACTCGTTGTTTTCAAGCCCACACCCCTCGGTATTTTTGGCACAGCAAGAGCGATAAAAGCCCTCCTCCGTTCCGTGGGAGGGGGCTGTTTGCTGCGGGGAGGGGCTGGCAGCCCGGCAGCGCTCCCGGTGTGCCCCGTCCCTCGGGACTCACCTCTTGAGGATCCCCACGGTGTCCTCGGGCCGGGCCACCGCCACCTCCTCGGTGTCGTTGAGGAACTTGAGGCGGATCTTGATGAGGCCGGGACACACGTCCCCCTCCCCGGGGGCACCGGGCTCAGCCGGGCTTTGGGACAAGCTCCGGGCGTCCAGGAGCTGCTCCGGGCCGGGATCGGGGGGGGTCCCGCTGTCCCCCCGTGCCGCCGCCGCCCCCCCTTCCTCCTCTGTCTTCTCCTCCGCGTTCTCGGGGGCCCTGGGGGGCTCCGGTGCCTCGGCCGCCCCCGCGGGCCCCGCGTAGGGCGGGAGGGGCCCGAGGCGGATGACGGCGGCGTCCCCGGTGCCCAGGAGCTGGCTGCTGCCATCGGCCACGTACGTGGACAGCCAGGCCAGCACCAGCGCCAGCACCAGCACGGCCACCCCGGCCACCAGCGTCACCTCATCCCCCACGCCCAGGATGAGGGGGGCGGCCGGGGGCTCCATCTCCGCCACCCCCGCGCTTTATCCCCGCCTGGACCTCCCGGTGCCCGGTGTGACCGAGCCGTGCAGCGGCGACCGCCGGGGCTGCCCCGGTGCCACCTTCGGGCTCAGAACAGACCCCGGGGCTGCTGCCGGTGCCCGGAGACCGCAGGGACGGGAGCTCCTCGCTGCGGATTTTCCTCCTCGCTGCCGAGGCACCGAACGGGCAGCGCTGCGCTCACGTTACCGGGCCCGGCGCAGGGTCCCGGAGGGTCCCGCAGCCCCTCGGTGCTCAGCGGGGCAGGGTCAGGCCATCCCCGACCTGCACAGAGCAGAGCACGGTGCGGTCAGCGAGGCCCGGGCACCGCGGGCCGGGAGGAACCGGGGGAGTCCCTGCCCGTCCCCGGGGGTCCCGGTGTCCCCCTACCGGTCCCCGTGTGTCCCGGGGGTCTCTACCGGCCCCGGGGGTGCGGCCGTGTCCCTGTCAGCCCCCGCGGTCCCGGGGTGTCTCTGCGGGTCCCGGGGGTCCCGGTGCCCCCCCCCCACTCACCGCCTCCCGCCGCCGCCGCCCGCGCGCCGGAAGCGCCACGTCACAGAGCGCCGCCGCCAGGGGGCGGGAGCGGCGGCGGGCGCGCGCGAGTGACGTCACGGCCGCGCCCAACGGGCGGGGCCAGGGGAGGTGGAGCGATAGGGACACGCCCCTGAGTGGGCGGAGTTGTGAGTGGGCGCTGTCTATGAGGGCGTGGTCACTGAAGCCGCGGGGCGGGGCCTCGGGAGCACCGTGGGAACCCCCGGGGCCCCCCCCCCCACGGGGCCTGGGCCGGACCGAACACCCCGGGCCCCCCCAAGGCCCAGCTGTCCCCTCCCCGCCACCTGAGACCCCCCTGGCTCTGTCACCCCTCATCCCCTGTGCCACCCCTGTCCCCACAGCCCACTGTCCCCGCAGCAGCTGTCATTGCCCACCCTGGTCGCACAGGGACGCCTCAAGAGCCACCTCTGCCACGTCCTTTATTGTCACCAGGGCACGGGAGGGACGCAGCAACCGGACACCGGTGGGGGACACAGAGGGGACACATGAAGGCGACACCTGTGGGGACACATGGAGTGCCCTCAGGAGATGAGACCCTCGACGGGCAGCTGGAGGTAGCGGCGCAGGGAGGGTGGCAGTGCCAGCTTGGGGACAGCGGCGTGACAGCGGGCGCCCAGGTGACGCCGGATGGCCACACGTGCCAGGTGCTGCAGCCGCCGTGGCTGTCCCGCCATGCGCACGGCCGAGGCGTAGAACTCCTGGTGCTCCTGCATGGGGGGACACGGGGGTCAGTGAGCTGGGGCTGGGACACGGGCACAGCCCAGGACACCCCAGGACACCCCCCTACCTCCCACAGCTCGGGGGGCACGGCCTCCACCCAGCCTTCGGCGGGGGGCACGCGGTCGTAGGCGTTGAGCATCACTTCCAGCGCCGGCGGGTGCTGGCAGCACAGCCTGAGCATCTGCCGGCAGAGCTGTGTCACCGGGGGGTGACACCGCCACTGCCACCACCCCCTGCCCCCCGTCACCCCCGTCCCCACCTTGGGGTGCGCGGGGAGGGCTCCGTGGTCGAGCAGGAGCGCGATGATCTCCTCGGGCCGCTGCTCCCGGTACTCGAGCACGGCGTGGAGGGCGCAGTCCATGGGGGTGTCCCCGGCGCTGTTGGGGACGGTGGCATCGGCGCCGTGGCGCAGCAGCAGCCAGGCCAGCGCGGGGTGCCCGTTGGCACAGGCGTTGTGCAGCGGAGTGTGGCCCTTGCGCCCCGCGGCCCCGGGGTCAGCGCCGGCCTCCAGCAGCCTCTCGGCCACCAGCAGGAAGCGCTCGGCGTCCTCGGGGCGCTCGGCCGCGGCCGCCGCCGCGTTCAGGGGGGTCTCGCCCTGGTGGGTGCGCTGGGAGGGGTCGGCGCCGTGGTGCAGGTACAGTTCCACGTGGGCCACCAGGCCCTGGCGCGCGGCCACGTGCAGGGCTGTCACCTGCCGCTCACGCGTGCCCAGGTTCACCTGTGCCCCGTGCGCCAGCAGCAGCTCCGCACACCTGGAGCGGGTGAAAAAAAAAAAAGGGTGGAGACACATGGCACCCATGGGACACGATCAGAACATGCCGGGGAGAAGCGGTTCCCATGGGACACCCCCAGGGACCCTCCCAGGACACCCCGCAGGCTCCCAGATCGCGCGGGTGGGGCAGCAGCGATGATTTCACGGGCGGGGTCTCTCCTGCAGGTGCCCCCCGTACCTGAGGCTGTGGGGCGCGGTGCAGAGGTGCAGCGGGGCCGAGCCGTCGGCGCTCAGCACGTTGGGGTCGGCGCCGAAGGCCAGGAGCAGGCGGGCGCAGTTGGGGTGGGGGGCGGCCGCGCTGTCGTGCAGGGGAGCCCGGCCCCCCACCACGGCGTCCACGGCCGCCCCCCGCAGCAGCAGGTGCCGGGCACAGTCCTCGTAGCCGCGGGCGGCGGCGATGCGCAGGGCGGAGGTGTGCTGCGGGCGGGGGCTCAGCACCCACAGCCCTGCGGGGGTCAGCGGGGGCTGCCGGAGAGCCCACCCGCCCCAGGACCCCTCCTCACCCACACCCGCCCTGCCCCAGTCCCCCTCAAACTGGGGCAGCCAGCGCTGCTCCCCCAGCCCAGCTGGAGCCGCCCCCCACGCCCGTCACCCCCGTTCCGGGCTCCCCGCTTGTTCTGCGGGAGGAAAGGGAGGAGGGAGAAGGAAGGAAGGACCCCCAGTGCCACCCCCGGCCCCGTACCCTGGTCCGGTGACCACACCAGCTCCTCGCTGACCATCTCCAACACCAAATTCGCGGTGGCCTCGTCCCTGAAGATGTTCTGGACGCGGGGCAGGTCCCCGGCGTAGAGCGCGTTGTGCACGGCGGGGTCCCGGCAGAACTGGCGGCGCCGGGGGGGGCTCGGGGGGGCGCGGGGGGTCCCGGGCAGGGGGCGACGCGGGGCCGATGCCCGGGCCAGCGCTCGCCGCCGATCCTCCCGCTCCAGCAGCTCCCGCTGCAGCCGCAGCGAGCGCAGCGCCGAGGAGCTGAAGGCGAAGGTTTCGTGGGCCATGGAGGGCAGGGAGGATCCGGGGGATCTGGGGGGATCGGGGGGATCTGGGGAACAGCGACCGGCGCCCTGCGCCTGGGGGGTTATAAATAGGGCTGTGCCCCACACACGGATGTGGAATCAAATCCCAGAGCCAGGGCCCTATAAATAACTCCTGGGCGGTAAACAGAGTCACGGGGTGCTGGGCAGTTTAACCTGTTGGTGGGTGCGAGGTGGGGATGTCCCATGGAGAGGGATCTGGGGACCGCCCCCAATCCTGTGGGAATGGCCCCTCCTGGCCAGGGGGAGCAGGGGACCCTCAGGAAGGGACAGAGGGGTGACACACGAGGACACAGGTGATGCAGAAACAAAACAGCCCTTTAATGCAGGTTTGGGAGTGAGAGGGGCCAGTGTGCCCGGAGCAGTGGGGACAGCGCTGTCCCCCCGGGTTTCCCCAGATCTCAGCTCCACAACAAACACCACAGACACACAGAGAGAGGAGCAGGTGGGTGGCAGGTGTGGCACCTGCTCCTGGGCACCGTCACCCTCAGCAGCAGTGCTGGGCTCAGCCGCAGTCAACCTGTGCTGGGGCTGAGAAGAAATCCTCGGGCAGCTCTCCCAGGAGCCCGTCCAGGTCATCTGCAGGGATGGGATCCATGAGTTGTGTGTGTGGGATTGTGGAACTGCTCAGGTTGGGAAGCAGGCCCAGTTTTCCACAGGACAGGGAACTTCTCCTCCCCGCCCAGTGTGGGTCTGACTCACCCATGTCACATCCATCAGCTCCCACCGGCTCTTCCCAGCTGGGACCAGAGCTCGGTGGGCACAGGGAGAAGCCCCCAGGATCTGCACTGTGTCCACTTGTCCTCGCCTGTCCCCAGTCCTCAGGGACACCCCGGGGGGGCTGCGCGGGGGGGTCCGGGATCAGCTCAGCCTGGGCAGGGACCTGCAAAACCCAGTGGGGATGAATTACTGGGGGATTTTTCCATCCCTTCCCCCTCCTCTCGGGGGGTCCCCGTAGCTCAGACCCCCTTGGGGGTCCCAGCAGCGTCCCCCCCCCTCACCTGGCGGGGGGAGCAGCCCTCGGGCTCAGGTGGGAAGATCCGGAGGAGGTTGTTGGGGGTCACGTTGAGGTAGTGGTTGCGGTGGGAGGGGGAGAAGACCCCGACCTGCAGGGAGGGCAGACAGAGGGGGCAGAGCCAGCTCTGCAGAGCAGCTCCTGCATGAGCCCCCAGAGTTACAGTTGCACGTTTAGGGAAATTTTAGGATGAAAGGTGAAACTTTAGGAATAGCTGAGAAAAATCCGAGGTGCAAAACTGTGGGAGAACCTTTTCTTGTATTTTTATTTGCAGTCCCTGGCTGCTATGAATTGGGAATGGGGATGCACTGCATGAATTAGCTCCTCTTATCCTCTTACCCCAACACTCACATTCACAGTTCCAGGGTGTAACGGGGCTGGGAATGGGATGGGTGATCCTGTATCACCACCCCAGTAATCCCCCATGCTGCATTCCCCTGGGATGAGACCCCACAGCCTGTGGGAAGAGCAGCCCCCCCCCCCAGCTGTCCTCACCTGCCTCAGGAGCAGCACGGAACCAGCACGGAGCTCACTCTGCCTCTGCTCCAGCAGCAGCCTGTGCACTGTGCCCTGCATCTCCCCTGCAACGAGCACGGGACCCCTGAGCCCCAGAAGGGACAGGCAGGAGCCCCCTGGGGCACAGGTACAGCCCCACTCACCTGTGGGGTCCCGGAACACGGCACCAGCACCTGCGCTGCTCCTGGTCAGGGTCTTGATCATCACAGCCATGCTGGGGACTTTGTTTTTTGGGAGCTGCTTCAGGGCTGCCTGCAAAGCACAATGGGGATTTTGGGGTAACCCTGGGCAGGGCAGGGCTGGGAGTTGAACCCCGTGATCCTTATGGGTCCCTTCCAGTGTGGGATATTCCAGGATTCTACAACCCTCATCACCCATGGGGTGTGGATGTCTGTGCTCAGCTCAGACCCCTCCCCACAGATTCCCAGCCCTAAAAGCGGCTCCAAGGGGTGAGGGAAGAGCAGGAAGCCGAATCTCACCTTTCGGAGCACCATGACCACGCTGTAGGTGTGCAGGAAGCAGCCAGGGTCCCTCTCATCCAGCCCCAGCTCCATCTTCATGGCCAGCCAGGGCCCCTTCCCGAAATCCTCCTCCGAGGGCAGCGGGGAGCTGGGCAGTGCCTGGGGTCAGGGAATCCACGGTCACAGAGCCCCAGGGGCTCCCTCCCCACCCAGCATCCCCCTCCGGGGGGATTCCCAGCGGGATCTGCTGGAGCAGGGGGTGGGAAGGGGGGGTTACCTGAGCCCGTGGCTTCGCCACAGCCCCGTGAGCTGGAGTTTGGGGTGCAGACACCAGGATCTCCTCCAGCAGCTTTCCAGAGTGCTTGTGGGAGAGGGAGACATGTCCAGGGATCTGCCTGGCTTCATCAGCTGCTCCCATCCCATCCTATCCCAGCCCATATCCCATTCCCATCCCCAAACCCACTGCATTCCTGACCCTGTCCCCATCCCTATCACATCGTTATCCCGGTTCCCATGCTGTCCCCATCTCCATCCAATCCCACCCTCATTTCTATCCATCCCCATTCCTCACCTGCTGGGGCAGGAGCCCGGCGGGCCCTGGGAATCGCCGGCTCTCCCTGCACAGGGGGGCTCTGGGCAGGCTCCTGGGGGCTTTGCTGGCCGCTGTCACCAGCTGCACCAGGTGGTTGGTGACCACGG